CGGTTTGTATAATAGGTTGCGCTTTCTCTTTCAGTATACCTAAAGTACTCAAAATCTTCCTTCCAATTCCAAATGCACCTCTGGCTATTGTTCCCACTGCGGGTAAAAATCTAGATGCGACTCCTGCTAATGCACCAAATAAACCCATTTCTTATGGGTTAAAAATGACGAATTCAAACAAGGACCCGTATGTTTCTAAAGCAACAAAGAAAGCACTCATGGTAAAAATCTTTAGTTCAACACCAAATGCTTGGTTTATGGATATCTTGGAAAACATTCCGAGATATAGAGAAGATGGACCACCATACTGGCTAATATTTGTCGTCAAAACACAAGATACTGTGAAGCCATACCATTACAGTCCAAAAATATTTTAGATGTGAAAACTGCTTTGACAATATTCGTTGACAAATACCATCCAACAAAACTGACATCTGACTGGAAAGTTCTTTCAAATCAGACGATATTAAAAACTATCTGCGTTCAAAAAAATGTAACCAATTTTCATTGTCGACCAAAACCATTCTGCTCTTGTTCATTGACAGTTGTATAAAAATCTTAAGAGACTTAAACCAACCACAAGGTGGTGAGGTAGATGAAATGTCATATGACGACAAATAGGACACTTCTCCATGCAAAGATGAGACAAGTTTTAAATATTTACAATAACCGTAAACAAAAAGGTTTGGAAACCATTCCCCCGAAGAAATGAAAAACAACCCCGACTTAGAGAAAGACTATATATTTAATAGTTTAGTCAAAAGAGACAAACAAGAAAGAATGCCAGGCTTCAAACTTAAGAAAGGTGACAAAGTAAAAATAGAAATACCTAAACGCGACCCATATGAAAATACTATTGACTATGACAACAATGGGAACTCGACAGGTACTCACGTTCGTGTTCGTAAAAATAGAAGAAAGTATACAAGAGAATATATGAAGTTTTAGGCAAACATGGCAAAATGTACACACTGCAAGCAGAAGATAAAACTACTATTGTCAGACCTCGTTTCAAACTTGTCAAAGTTCAAGGTGGTATACTTTCAAAGACAGTTCCTAACAAATATAAGACAACTCCTGACGAATATGCTAAAGAAGTTGAAAATGACGACTAAGCAATTCTATACCATGCGTAAACTGTCATGTAAGGTGGCATGTAGTCTTTACTTTGTCCCGTTGTTTGCGTATACCCTGAAACGCGATGTATATGGTTTCCTCCTCCCTCAGTGTTACTCCAGTAACAATCTATAGCAAACTTAACGTTGTTTTTAACATCATATCCTTTACCTTTTGTCATTGATGACCAATCCCAATATCTATGCTTATGCCAACCTGCTTGAGATGTACTTAAATCTACGTAGTGACTGTGCGCAGGTAGGTTTTCACCTGAAATCGTTTTACTTCCACCTGTTTCCTTTGAAGAGTTTGCACAATACAAAAACCTGTCGACTATTTGAGTCCAAGTTCCGAGACCAAGTACTACTTCTGGTCTGGTAGAGTTCATTGACGTGTAAATAGAACCTATAGGATATAGTGTTTGAAGTATTTCAATCTTTAATGTTTGAAGCTCTGTTTTGTCAGCTTTTTTATCATATAAATCTTGAGCAGTGAATTTAACTTTGTTTTCATCCTCCATGACATAGACATTTCTACATCTAATGTCTTTATCCGATGTTAAACCTTCTGGAAAGTTAGGAGGTTTAAAATATAATCCACCCCCACCAGTTTCTTCAATCGTTCCTAAAATACTTTCTATACCAACAGTTGAGAAGAAGTTATGTGTATGTCCAACGTCACTTTTACTGTTTAAGGTTTCTTGTAAGTTTGTAATATTTGCAATGGTATGTGTATGTCCAACGTCACTTTTACTGTTTAAGGTTTCTTGTAAGTTTGTAATATTTGCAATGGTATGTGTATGGTTCTTGTCAGCTTTAAGGTCTAAACATCCTGAAACCCACCCTGTATTGGCTTTACCTTTTAAAATCTTTGTTGTCCGTTCATGGTACCATTCAACCATTTCTTTAATTTTTTCATCTTTTTCATCCACATATTCCTTATCTGCCTTCTTCACTAACCCACTAGCCAGATATGCTAACTCATCGTCAACATACTCTTTGTCAGCTTTGTTGTCAATATCTGCCTTCAAAAGAAGTTCATCTATAGGTTTCTCGTTTAAAGTTCTTTTTGTTGGATTTATACAAACAGTATGGTTCTTACTGTCTTGAAACAGAAACTCGTCTGTCATTGGGTTTATCGTCAGTTTTAAGTTTCCTTCTTTCAATGACTCAGATATTTAGAATAGTTTGAAAAGTTTGTTGTGTTCTTATTTAGAGCTTGCAAAATGAGTTGTCGGTTGTGTTGTATTTCTCTCATAGACGCTGTTTCTTTCGACATTTTTATTCTAGATAAAATATGCTTTCAATAGAAAAAGAAAATTCAAGAGTTGCTACAACTAAACCATTAGATGAACTTTTTACTAACGTAGGTCAAAAGTTTGAGACAGAGACCGTAAAGCATGAAGGCTATCGTTTTGACTACCCATTGAGATGGTTAAGAGACCCATCCGTCACAAAAAGCTGTTGGCTTTCGTAGAATGAAGTTCATTTCAGAAGCCATACATGGTTTCCCATTTACGGTCGCTTTTGAAGTTCGATACTATAACAAAGAAAAACGTACGTATGAGAAATTTGAACAGGAAAACTTTTACAAGTGAATTTGCTTGTAAACTTAGAAACAACTCTTCAAGCTTTTCAAGAAAAAATAAACGATATCTATCTCGAATATGCAAACCAGTTTAACATTGACGAAGGAGAGTACCATCTCGATATTGTTTATGACAGGAAAAATGCAACTGTTAAAATCGATAGAATAGAAGACCTTGGAGAAAACGTTTATATTTCTACAAAATATAACAACTTGGCATGGTATAGATTTTTGAGGATGTTAAATCAGCCTGCAGAATATCCAGTACACCCGAACTTTTATGAAGTCGAAAACCCTAATGGAACATATGAAAATGTTTTCGACTCAGATGCTATTATAGTTCATGCTTCATTTTCTGGTGCACAAAACACTCTTTTTTATGCTTGGCAAATGACTTTTACGAAAAACCTACAAAGCTATATGAACCACCGAGTGGAAGTATTTCAGACTTTCAAGTATGGTTTACTACAGATGGAAGAAAGAGAATAGTTCCATTATACCATGCGTTTTACTTAGAACTTAGTTTCATATACAACTACTATCGAACGGTAAAAATATAATCTTTTAATACGGTTGAGGTGTTGGATTTGGTTGCCAACTAGACTGTGGTGCAGGTTCAGGCTGTGTATAACAGGAGCTTGTTCTTCTGGTTCAGGGTCTTTAGGTATAATACCAACGAACTGACCTACTCTTTTACCAATATTTTTGACACCGTTCCAAATTCCTCTTCCGACAGATTTTATTCCATTCCATATACCTCTTCCAACATTTCGAAAGAAGTTTCCTATTCTTCCAAAGAAACTCATTTTACTATATGTAAAAATCTAATGTCCACCTAGTCTCTTACGTTTCCTTCTGAGTTCCATAGCATTTTTTAACTGGAGCTCATACATTCTATTTCTCCTCTGGTAGAAAACATACTCTGGGTCAACTCCTGTGTTCGCGTCATCTGCATAGAGTTGTTTATATCCCACTTCAGGTTTGTATAAAACTCTTTCCATCTCATATTTGCATACCATGGTGGCAAACCTAACGCAGCGTCATTTGACATGGCAGTTTGCATTTGTACATCTGTTGGCACTTGACCATAGTTTGCCATTGCAGTTTGTATTCTAACTTCATTTGGAATATTCTCTGGGTTTGGTTGTCCAGGTTGCTGTGCATTCGCTAAGTTCTGTGCGTCCATTTAATATTAGATAAAAATATCTCTTACGAGTACATATGCTGAACATTTGCTGGTATTGGTTCATCTTCATATTCTCTGTACTTTTCTGCCACGTCAAATAAGTAAATGACACAATGGAAAAAACCTAAAACAAGTAGTCCTATTTCAAACCACATTTACTTACCAATAAAATTTCTTTGTTATGACACTTTCTCCGGTTTATAGGACCTCTCTCATATTCTATCTTGTCATATCTAAACTCATAGTCATGTATATCCTCTAACCATCTCATGACACTTTCCAAACCACTTTTATCGGATGTAAAGTAAAAGCATGGATGGTTATGTAAAACGTCTAAAGTTTCTAAAGAGTCTCTCAAAGTCCAGTCTGCTTGGTATTGAAAATCATATGTGTTATAGAACGGCGGGTCTACTATAAAGAAAACATTTTCCTTGTTTTTATATTTTTCATACAACTCTGTCCAACGACATCTCACAAACTCTATACCCTCAGTATATTTTTCTATGTTCTCTTTGAAAACCTTTGTATAGTTAAGATATAAAACGTTTGACATAAGTGTTTCAATGTCATGAACTCTTATAGAACCACTATACAATAGTCTAGAAGATATACTATCCCAGTCAATATACTCTGCTTTTTTCAAAACCTCTCTGACAATATCTTTCTTATCTAATGGTATACGTTCCATCTTACCTATAGGTATCTTTTCTTTCAACTCACTCAATATTTTGTTTGTGTCTGGTATATGTTTGAGACGGTTCATATAGTTGTCGAAGTCATTGCATATAATCTTTGAGTCTGGGAATACGGTATGGCACAAATGAGATATATAGAAACTTCCACCGAACAAATCTACAAATGTTAGACCATTCGGTAGTTTCTTAAGTTCTCTCAATAGAATATCTTTACATCTACTCTTATTTCCAAAGAAGGGTAACGGTGGTTTTGTAAAATTCATTTTATATTTAATAAAAATGTTTTTTCCCTGAAAAGTGACAGAAAAGTGACAAAACATCTTCGGGGCTAGAGGGCACGAAGTGCCTGGAAGCCCCAATACCTTTTTTTTTTTATGGGATAAATTATGCTGAGCTTAAAAATTTAAAATAAAAGTTTATTCAAAATTAGATAAGTTTTCACTATCTCTTCGTGCAGAAGTGCGAATAACACTTGGATGAAGATTGGGTGCTGCCCAAGACATTCTATGCTTTGAGACCTTGGTTTTTGCGTCTTTGTTGTTCATCGAATTCGATGATACTTGAAGATGAGTTTTATAATTTTTGTGAATTCGATTAAAATAAAATAATTTCAAAATATCTTTGAATTTATTTTGCTGAGCAATTCCGAGGGCGTATTCACCTTTATTATCTTTTATACATGGATCTGCACCATATTTTAGTAAAAGTTCAACAATAGTGGGCATATTTTTGCGGGTTGCTATTTGAACTGCAGTTTGATCTTTTTTGTTTTTAATGTTGACATTTGCACCAAATGTAACAAGTGACTCAACTTTTTTAAACTCACTTAAACTAACTGCATAATGGAGAGGTGTATTTTCTTTTATATCTTTCGCATCTTTATCTCCTCCAAGCGATAATATTTTTTCTAGAATAGAATTTCTTATTTTCTTGGTTTTAGCTGCAATAATAAGAGGAGTATTTCCATGATTATTTTTCGCATTAATATTGGCACCATGATCAATAAGATATTCTATTTCATTATTTATAATATCCTCTCTCATCATCATAATAAGCAGCGGGGTATTTCCTCTGTCATTTGTTGCATTAATATTTGCACCATGATCAAGAAGATATTCTATTTCATTGTGTGCAACTTTAACTTGCATCGTCATTAAAAGAAGAGGTGTGTTTCCTTCATTATTTTTCGCATTTATATCTGCTCCATGACTAATAAAATACTCAATATCACGAATTGTTAATACATCTTTCTTCATCATAAGGAGAAGAGGAGTATTTCCTTCACAATTTTCAGCGTTAATTTCTGCGCCATGATCAATTAGATATTCAATTTCTTTCATTGTTACATCTTTTCTCGCCATCATAAGGAGAAGAGGAGTATTTCCTTCACAATTTTCAGCGTTAATTTCTGCGCCGTGATCGATCAGATATTCTATTTCTTTCATTGTTACATCTTTTTTCGCCATCATAAGGAGAAGAGGAGTATTTCCTTCACAATTTTCAGCGTTAATTTCTGCGCCATGATCAATTAGATATTCAATTTCTTTCATTGTTACATCTTTTCTCGCCATCATAAGGAGAAGAGGAGTATTTCCTTCACAATTTTCAGCGTTAATTTCTGCGCCATGATCAATTAGATATTCAATTTCTTTCATTGTTACATCTTTTCTCGCCATCATAAGGAGAAGAGGAGTGTTTCCGTCACAATTTTCAGCGTTAATTTCTGCGCCATGATCAATTAGATATTCTATTTCATTAATAGCCAAATCTTCTCTCATTATCAAAAGATGAAGAGAAGTATTCCCATCATTATTTTTCGCATTAATTTCTGCTCCATGGTCGATTAGATATTCTATTTCTTTAATTGTGACATCAATTCTCTCCATCAGAAGATGAAGAGGAGTATTCCCTCCACAATTTTTGGCGTTAGGGTCAGCTCCGTGAGTTATAAGATACTCAAGTTCATTGTTCTCTGTTCGTTCACATTTTGCTGCAATATGGAGGGCAGTATTTCCAAAACCATCTTCAGCCATTATATTTGGACCTTGAGCAATAAGATTTTCAAATGTTTCAAAACCTTTACAATTTAAGGCATATTTAAATAAATGTGGAATTATAGATGGATAACAATTATTCAAGAAATCAACAACATTATTACCTTTCATTTTTTCCACATAAAAATTGTTAAATGTATACCATGGACACTTTTCACAGAATTTACATACAAGGGAGACAATATATTTAAGTAGATTGATACTATTGTATTCAAATGCAAGTTCCAGAATTCTATAATCAAAATAATAATAATATGGGTCCAAATTCTTTTCATTATCAATAATAACTTTTGCTATTTCTACTGAATCTTTTCTAAATAACTCAATTGTCTCATGGAGATAACAGTGCTTGCATTGTGGAAAGAAAATAGTAAAAATATCCCTGCTGTTGGAATATATTGCAAAATCAAGAGCTCTTCGAAAATCAATGCCTTCCCCATAACAAGAATATAAATACTGAAAAAGCATTTCAACAAGCGATGTGATTCGGAATAATGGAGAATAAATCAGACATTTATAAATATTGTCATAATCTTCAACATCTATTAAAAATGCTTGAATGTTTTTGTAACGACCACAACATTTTGTTTTGATGTGAATGCCATATTCATTCCACAAAAACGAAACAAAGTCAATATTATGTGAAATAATTGCATATTTCATGCATTGTGAAGATGGAGAGCAATATTTTAAGCATTCACTAATGATATCTGGTTTTCCACTCAAAAATGAAAATTGAACACATATATCAGTAATCTTTGGTTTGAACTCTGTGATCAAGAACTTGAAGCATTTTACAGCACCATGATAACAACATAATTCAATTAACGAATATCCTTCGTGGGATGAAAACTTTTTTTTTCCAAAGGATATAAATAACTTTTCAAGCGTACTTCTGCATCAAAATCTTTATCTTGTGTGAAACCAATGAATGATATTATGTCATCATTCATGATTGCTTTGAAAATGTTGTTTACGTCATGAACATAAATAGAAATATAGTTCAAGTATTTGAATCGAGGTTTCTTGCGGAAACTCAAAATAGTACCATATTCATGATAAACGAAGTAATTGAAAACTGTTGATATGTTGTCGATCTTTTCTGGTTTGAATTCTTCGTAAATCATTTTGAAAATAAACCAGTATGACATTAAATAACGATTGTTATACTTGAACATCTTGCTGATTTGTGATAATATTTGATCAGGCATGAATATGTTCTTATCAATCAAGTTCCTTTTGACCATCTGATAAATTTGAAGAAGTTTACACTCATCATATGTATTTAATCTGTATAGTTTTGAATATGTATCATGATAGTCCTGATACATATTCATCAACGTATCATATTTCAAGCCTACATCAGGTATGGTAGACATGAAAATTATGATTAACTTCTCGTTTTAAAAACAATTCTAAACGAATTTCTCTTAATTTGAAATACCCAGAATAAAAAATACTCATAAATCGATTTCATTTTATATTATATACAGTTTATCAAAAAATGTTCGACCAATGAGAATAAAAAGTGACAAGATATTGTAAAATGCACCAATATACTTGTATCATGGCGATGATCAAATTAGGAAAGAATTCCATTTATTGGATGTTCTCAAAATTCAATTTCAATCAATTTTAATTTTCGAATTTTCATAACAACAGTCTTCATATCAATTATATTCTTCAAAATAGATTCGAGATTGCAAATACAATTCTATTCTATTCAATTCATATATTCAAAGATGTTCACAAACAAATTCATAGATACTGAATCGAAAATAAACCAATCCATTGTTATGAAGTAAGAACAGTCATGATATCGTTTAAATATTCTGATACAATCAATAAATTTTATTCTGAAATGAGAATTATGCAAGCTTTATTCAGAAAAATATAGCAAACAATCAAGCGGCTTTGTAAAATTCAGAAAATAAAAGTTATTCTCAAATAATACAGATTCTCTTTTTTCTGATTACAAGCAATTGGTTTACTCCATTGCATCAGAAATGAATCCCAATTGAAAAGGGTTAAAAAGAAATTATAAATTCATCGGAATAAATATCTATCTACTAGGTATATTTCAATTTCATTTTAATAGATGAATATAAATCTTTTAGAAATGATAGTTTTATAGATCTAAACTTCAAATTTATCCTTTTGATGTATCAAATTGTTCTTACTATCGTTATTAAGAGTTTTTGAGAGAATGGAGCAGCCAACATTTCTAAAATACAATTTAATTGTGCCAAATAAATCGATCAGATCAAATATGAAAATATTATGAATAATTGTTATTTAGCATTCTAGCTAGATAGAAAGGTATATCATAATTAAAATCTAGCATCAAATAAACGAGATAGACCGTTTTAAAGAAATTGTAATATTCACAGAAATATTTTTGATTTTTCCTATTTTAGGACATATTAATCAAGTATTAGCATATTACATATAGCATATAACTCGAATATTACAATCATTTATGTAATTAATTAACCAGATCTGAATCCAAATCTGCATGTCACTTTTGGCATTTTCTGATTCATGGTTGAGGTTTTATTTTTTTTATCAATACCACACAAACATTTTATACATCCACATTCCATGCAAAGTTTTAAAATTTAGCTTTTCAGAACTTGATGTTTATTTCTACGATCGTTTTTTTATTATTATTATCTTATCTGAACAAAATGACAAATCTTCCAGCTTTTGAATTTAAAGTAGTAATGATAGGAGCGGTGGCTGTTGGAAAAACATCCATTGCAAACCGATTGCAGTTTCAAGTTTTCGAAGACGATTACCAACCAACAATTGGAGCAGGATACATTCCTTATAAGACAGAATTTAATGGCAAGCTCGTTGAACTACAAATATGGGATACTGCCGGCATGGAAAAGTATAAATCCCTTGGTTCAATTTATTATCGAGATTCTAACGCAGCAATTTTAGTTTACGATCAATCTAGTCAAGAATCAGCTGATGCTCTCGACTCGTGGCTTAATATATTTAAATCATCAGTAAAATCAGACGTAATAATAGCTGTTGCAGCCAATAAAGACGATTTACCAAAGAAAGTTGTTGATAATGCCAAAATGGAAGAATGGGCAAACCAACAACACTATCCGTTTTTTGTTACATCCGCAAAAACAGGAGTTGGCATCCAAAATCTTTTTAATAAAATCATTGAGCTCCTGATGGAATCGGCAACAGCAAGTTCAAAAGAGAAAATCAAACTTCGCAGTACAAAAGGCTGTTGCTAATATATTATTCTTCAATATATAGTGTTTGGTGTTAAAATATAGCATAGTTGTATAAATAATAAATATTTGCGTACATTAGGCTTTACCTTATCTTTTATTAAACTTTTTTATTTGAATTTTCGCAACAATCACAAATCTTAGCGTCATCTAAACAGTTTCTTCTAAAATTAATAGATGTTATATATTATATTACATGAAGTATACACGATTTGATATGACCGATGCAGAAAAATCAAGTTTTGAAAGTTTTTATATCGAAATTATTTTTTATCTCTATGGTTCTGTACATGTTTATGATACAAATCGTTTGATAAGCGAAAGAACTTCGATCTACTGTTCCTTCTTTCTGATTTTTGTTATAAAATTTTATATCGTCAGAACGATAAAAGATTTTGTGATGTCTTATCAATATATTCGAAATGGGACTAATAATTTAGAGATAAGACTGAAACAAAACGCAATTACTCTTGATGAGTTCTTGAATAGTGAGTTCTCTTTACCAGGTCTTTCTAGAAATATTTCTTCATTTTCATTATTCATCTTACAAAACATTTCACAGATCAATAACTATGCAGTTCCACCAGAAATAGATCCATCTAACACATTGTCATCCAAAAGTTTTCATATTTTGATGTCAAACAATGAATTAATTGTGAAATTCCTCGAAGAAAACTATAAAACATATATTGATGTTATTAATGAACGATTATCTTCAAATAGTGGTGATATAGTACGTCCAATAATGATTCTGCAGCATATTTTATTAAATAATAATCCAATTCTCAATTTAACAACAGAAGAATCAGAAGGATTCTTTAGACTTCTTCTCAATGATATACAAATCGGTCCAATTTTTACATTACTACTCGACATTACGAAATATCAATCAAAACAAGATGAAAATTGGTTTGAAACGTTTAATTCATGGGCAATATTAGTTGAATATCTATCACCAGGCATCTCACAAGCTTTTTACATCGCTTGCTACTTCGTAAATACTTTTAATAAAGATTCTTCATTTATCAAAACAATATTATCACCAGAGACATTACCAAACGTAATAAACATAGCTCTTACAACAGAAGACCAAAACACATCAGAATTGGCCTTCAAATTCTTAATAAATGCTCAAGAAATTTTGAAACCAGAAAATTACCTTTTAAGACAGAACAGACTTCAGTCAATTGATATTTTGAGTAACGAAGACGATAAAACTGCTTTTCAAGAAAATTCAAATATTTTACCGGAAGAACTGGCCGAATTTACAGGTTTACTTGATTTTATTAAGGAAACACAGAATGATGTTGCCGGATTTATAGTTTCCACGCCTGAATTCGTTCCTTGTAAGAGAATGGCGATTCAATACATGTTAAATTACGATGATACGCAAATGGAATCAACAGAAGCGATGTATAGTGTCCTTATGTACCTGAATAACTCGATAATTAACTATCCAACCAATGATTTTTTGGCAATTTCTTATGTTGAATGTTTTAAGTCAATTGCAACAGCTTCAAACATTGATAGTTTTGATATCAAACCTGTGATACAGAATATTCTTAGTTTGACAGCGAATAAAAAGGAAATTGTCGCATCATTTTGGGGATGCATTGATAAAATCGCTAGAATCATTAATAAACTTGTTTTGAAAGAAACAATTCCACAACCTGATGAATGGCCAACGTTTTTGACAAAATATTTGATTCCAAGGGATAGAACAAGGAGAAATGACTACGGAGGCTTCTCAAGAGCCAATAGAAGACAAGCAAGATTACCTAGATATTACTGCGTTGACGAAGAAGACATGTCTCGACTTCCTGTAGATTTTGAAGATTATTCAAGTGAAGAAGATTAATTTCTTTTATAAAATGTATTGTATTTTATCTTATTTGATTATATTTTACCAGAAACTATTGTATTTAGCAATAAACTTAATATTGAATTTTTGAATTTTGTTGTTGAGTGCGTTTTAATCAAATATGTATTAGTCAATGCATTATATGACTCATTGTTTATATAATTTTTATATTATTACAATCAATGAAGCAATTTTTTAATGGAATTTAGGTTTTCTCATGAATTCTTTCACAATGTCAACAATATTTGTATATAGTTGCATCAGAAATTATCATTTACTGGAATAACACAGAACAATATTTGAAATAAGAAAATTCCATTTTGATATAGCCAATAAAACATGATATTAATTTGAGGAATTTCATTTTCAGCACAAATATAGTTTATTTTACTAGTTAAAAGATAAAGGTGTAAAAAGCAATAGATGCACGTTTGAAATTTTTTTTATAACAATGAATTTTTGGAGAACTGTTTTAGGACCTTCTAAAGTTCCAAGTACAGGAGTACAGAAGGAAACAAAGATAGAATATCCAAAAGTGAATGTTGATAAGTATATTACGTCAACAATCAAATATCTTCCTGTTTATAAGAAAGATAAAGACATTATTAAAGTTCCTTTTACAATTGCTGTTACTCCAGTTATTTCAGAACCAGAGAAAATACCAAAAATGGAATACAGATACGATGAAGCTCCGAGATGTCACAATTGCGGAACAATTTGCAATCCAAAATCTATTTTATTCGAAGGAGACCAGAAATTCTTGTGTAACATATGCAAATCAAACAATGATTTGGGTCCAAACATGAAAGAAAAAGTAAAATCAAATCAATTTCACGTTAATATGGTTGAATATCCATTTAAGGATACAACATTAGCAAATTCGCCATTAAGAAACGTTTTCATCATCGAGAAATCAGAATCTACGATAAAAACAGGACTTTTCCGCAAAACATTAGATAAATTAACCAAACACGTCAAAACATTAAAATCCGGCTACTTCTCATTATTTATTTTGACCAATACTCTTACAATTCCTCAAATCAACGAAAACAGACAAGAATTTTCGAATTTAATTTTTGAAGATTTTATTGATCTTAAATTACCATCAATAGACAGTGTATTCTTTGATATTTCGAAAGAGAAAGATCTTCTCATACAATACATCAATTCTACTGATGATTTACAGCCAAATCAGACACAATCAAACATTTTTGAGATAATTGATTCAATTTCACCATCTTATGCAGGCAAGAACGTGATGTTTACCATGGTTACGTCAACAGTAACAATAGGAAAGATGTCTGAAGCTAAAGAATTAGGACATAAATTACTTTCTTTGTTATCTCACTTTGACTTGTTCGTAATGGCCCAAAAAGACGTAGATTATTCACCATTGAGTGAATTATCGATGTTAAACAACAGCCATTTGACAATTTTCGGAGAAGATCAAATTGAATTTTTATCTGATGATATTCTTTACAGAATTTTCTGTCAGAAGTGTCCGGCAGCTCTTATTACATGCAAACATCCAAGTTTCGTGTCAATAAAGGAAATAAAAGGCTGCGGAATTTCGAGAAATGAAAATTCTTTCATTACAACGGTTTGTCAACCAAATGACACTTTTTTCTTTTTCTTCGAATACACAACAGATCATATTGAGTTTACCAGTCCATCCATGATCTTTGAAACTCGTCTAACGCATGAAGATGGTTCTACAACGCTAACTGTTTATAGTTTATCTTTTTCTGTTGTTAACAATCACATGAGTGTTATGCAAAACGCAAATGTTGATTTAATTTTGCAGTCATATATTATGCATGCGATAGATGATGGCAGAAACAAAGGAGATGAACAAATGATGCTGCAAACATTAGATAAACTAAAGGAAGAGTATTTGGATGAAACTTTTGTTCAGTTGATGTTGACTGCAACAGGAGATAATATGATGAAATACGCAAGAATTTGTTTTGGAACTGCTGCAAAAATATTGAATTATGAAACTGCATGTGAAGTTTATACAAAAACTCCTCAAGAATTTGGATACTTTTTCGTTCCAAAATATTTGTTTTTGACTGATGAAACAAAAGAAGTTCCTCCTTTGAAATATCTGAATGGATTCAACAAATTTGATCATGGAGCTTTGTTTGTGAAAAGAGATAGCCGTCATTCTGTGATTTTGCTTGCACAAAATGAAGAAATTAAAGAATGGATTGAAAATTTGAATGAATTACCATTAAAAGTTATAATGAGAAAGATTTTGACAACCCCGTCTCTGGAAATGATTCATCCAAGAGAGAACCAAACAAACAGAACATTTATATTACTATCTAAGTGTATCACTGCTCCTCTTCCTGAAATTAAAAAGGATTAAATGTTTAATTTTATTTTCTATAATTTATTTATTTATTTTTTGAAACTTTCTAACTTATGAATTAGATGCAGCAATATAAGCATTTTTTGCCTTTTTAGATTTATTTTTTATATGTGCCTGCAATAACAGATCATACTATTATATCGGATCTTCAAAATAACAATGATTTGAACTTCTTTTGTCAACAAATTGAGATGCTATTGTATCACTCTTAAAATAGCCAGGAAAAATTGGAGCATTTTCAAAGGTTGATCTTAACATCCATGAAATGCATCTACTGATCCTTTATATCCTATTTATTTGTAAACCTATCGTTGAGAAGTTTCGTGAGTAAACTTTTCGATGAGACAAAAGAAGTATACCTCTTCATAATGCTGTATATGAATAGTAAAGAAAAAGTCTAGCTCCTTATTTCAATGAAAATGATTATAGTGGATAAACAGCTCTTCATATTGCACTTTATAAAGTTTATGCAGCCAATACGACTTGAAGCATCCTAAAAATCAAAGATTTAGGAACATGGTATATAGATGATAATGGAATAGAAACTAAACTTCGGATCTTGGGTTAATTTTAGGGGGATGTAAATCTTTTATAAAAGGGGATTTTGGATGCACTGAAATGATCAATTTTCACGTATTTAACCCCAAGAACAGACATTCAAGGGTCATTACGATATTGATGGCAACTTTCCATTTAGTATTTTTGTCTTATTTCATTTTAAAGTTCGTGAAATTCAAAAAATATTATCCAGAAATACAAGTAAATTTCAATAAACATAGAGTATTTGATTGCTTTCTATATAACGGAGAAGCAGAAATGTTGTATATTAGACTCTGGCGACTTGATCCTTATGTTGACAAATTTATAATTTACGCCGGAGGTACTTCTTTCTCAGGAAACAAACGAAACTTATCTACATACCCTTTTGAGAAAGAAATAAGTCAGTATGAATCAAAAATTCATTGGATTACAGAAGATGCAGGATGCACACTATTAGATTCAAAGCTTTTCAAAGGTACATGGTGCAGAGAGAATTCCGCACGAAGTGCTATTTACCCAGCATTAAAACAATACGGACCAAACCAAGAAGATTTTATAATCTTTTCAGATCTCGACGAAATACCAATAAGATACGCCATGGAGATACTTCAACTAGAGCCACCAGAGACAGGCTATGTTTTAGGTGGTTACTCCTCATCTCCAAACTTCTTTTCTTTGATAGAAAGATGGGATCTCGTCAGATACTTTAGATGGTTTAAAGATTTTGATAGAATGTCAGAGGCAAGAGGCTTCAATTTCAGTTTGTTCTATATTTTCCCAGCAGCTACGCATTGTACTTCATGTTTTGATACTTATGAAAAATATCAAAACAAATTACAAACTTTTTCCCATAAAAGTTTGAACAAGAAGCCATACAATACTCCAAACTTCATATTTAAGCAGAATTATTGTAGAACCAATATCTGGGGAAAGAGATTTGAAGAAAATTTTTCAAATTTACGATATCTAGTTCCAAAACATCCTAAATTAAGATATTTATTGGATCCAACTTTTATGTTAGATCCAAATAGAACAACATATCGCGAATTCGAGTATTTATCCCTTTGTTCTGGAGATAATTATAATAGAAATCCACTTGATGACTTTACGATTGGTTGGGACTAACCCATTTCCATTTTTTGTGTTTGTATATAAAGATAATGTTATATGTTTAATTTTTTTTATTTGATTTCCTTAAGGGTTTTCCACTTTTTAACAACTTCTCTGTTTTTTTGACTAAAAACTCATGATTGATCAAAAGCAGCTATTCTGTACTTCATACTATGAGGTAATAATGTCTTACAATGAGCATTTAAAAGAACTCAAGTTGTGTTTTTATGAATTTTTCATGTTAGAAGTGCAAAAATGGCCTCAAAGTAAATTAAAGCGATACAGATTGACGATACAGACAGTTTGGTCGGAGAGAAGCGAACCGTTCACCCTTAATCACTACTAACCTAAGATATACCGCCTCTTCTAACTAGTTTGTTGGTTGCATTTGTCTAGAAAAATTCTATATTTTGGATAAGAATGAGATAAGAATTAAAGAAAAAGATGCAAATGCATAACATGCATATAACTTATTTGAAAGTATATTAGTATTGTATACGGTGAGATTTGCTTATAAATCAGAAATTGAGAAGGTTACACTCATGACGACACCGAAAAATCGCACAGATACATCTATTAGTAAAAAGATTGTTACACAACCATCTATATGATAAGGGAGAACTCATTTAGATGATTTTTAATGATACTATTTCGTTGACACCTATTTTTTGATTGTCGAAATTTTATGTCAATTTTTCCAATTCAAAATCTATGAAATATCGCATAAAAACAATTACTGGAGCAGATATTTCAATAGAACTTGACGAACATCAAACAGTTGGAGATCTACTAACAGCAGCATGTGAACAGCTGAATAAACCCGTTGAAAAATCACTTCTAATCTTTGCATCAAAAAAATTAACAAGTCTAAATGAAATTTTAGCAAATATTGGATACACAGAAGACAAACATATCATAATTCATACAATAGGCACAAACAAATCCGAATCAGATCCTCCAAACTCGAGTGAAATTTCAGTACCTGAAAATAAAGAAGCAAAAGTGGACAATGAACAAAAAACTAGAGAACAGGCAGAAAATGCAAGGAAACAAGAATTTGCTCAAGCATTAGAGAATATTACTGCAATGGGATTTTCAGCTGATCATGCTGAAGCCGCATTACGCCTAGCAGATGGTAATCAGAACGCTGCCCTCAACATTATACTACATCGACGAAGCAGTCAGCCGAGATTAAACGAGCGACGTATAGAAGAACAAAGAATTCGAACAGCGAGACGTAGGAATGCTAAAAAGATAAGATTATCCCCATTGACACCGCATAGACAAAAACATCATGTTTATGAAATTCCAGGATTTAATGTTACAAAAAATCGAGAGTTTGAGAAACCAATTAGCAATATCTTCACAGAATTTATTCAAAATAATGAGCAAACAATGGAAAGACTCAATACTGTAATTCAAGAAGAAAGTCTTGAATTTTTAGATTCAATTCAACAAAATCCGACACCAATGGTTACAATGCTAGGTTTGATAGTTCAATCAAATGAGTTCAGTGGAATTCAAACAAGTCCTTATTCTGAAGTTTTTACAGAACCATTGATTTCCGCTTTTGACCTGACTCCCGATGAAATCCCAGTTATAGAGAGACTTCTACATATCGGAGCTCCACTCACTGTTACTGTTCGAGCATTTCGAACTTCAAATAATAATGAAGCTCTGACTAGACAGTTCCTAAGATCGAGATACATTTAATATTTACATACTCTTGTTCTGAAAATTTAATATACATTATGATTTTTTCTAATCATATTTTGAATTATCTTTAAATGTTTGTTATTTAGAGAATAAATCTTTATTGTTATGATATTTACCTGCTATACTTTTCAATAGTTAATATATAAAAGAAAGTCCAACTTTTCTAAATTTGGGAAACGTTAAGGGTGCACACGAGAGGATCATGTAAACTTCAGAATTTAGAACCTTATTTTAGGCATTATCTTGGCTACCTATTTAGGCTCGAAAAGCAAAAAATATCAAAAAATACAACTTGACTCCATTATGACCCTTTCATGGAGGTAGTTTTTATCCGCTAGTATTTTCCCTTTGAATCTCTTTACAATTCGAAATCAAATTCAAAACTCAGTAGAAGAAAGGAAGAATCGACTTACTACGGTTGTAATACGAATAAATACATATATTTAATTATTTTTATTTACATAATAATTGTTTGAAGCTCATATTCCATCAAATTTTTAAATAAAAACATTAAAATGTTGAAAATGTTCATATATTTTAATAGGGTTTTGGCACTTTATTGAGGAATTACTACATACATAGTCGAACTGAACTTGATATTTTGAAATTTAAATTATTTATCAAAATTAAAATTTAACTTGAAATTTATAATTATTTAGTCATATTTTGCATAATTCTAAGTAGATTTTGTAAAAAATCAAGAAAGAAAAAATTTAACGTTCTTTATTTTTTCTTTTTTATAATAATACATATTATTATATAATTAACATATTCATAATGTTTCACCCTTTCAAAAATATAATCCTCCTCCTCTCAAATAAACGTACATACGGGGGCACCCTTAAAACAACATTTTTTGAAGCGAAAAAACGAAATCTAATTTTTTTTTGGAAAATTTAGAATGGGGAGAAGCTTCCTAAACTTTTTAATCCCATAAATATGGTCATTATCTGGAATAAAGAGTTAAGCGTCATATGTCACTTTTTGTACTAAGGAAACATCGACTTTATGCGTTATGACTTTTCGATGAGGAAACAAGTGTTCACGTATTATAAACTTCCTTATTCCAATAAACCGACCCTAAACATAATTAATTCTAAGCATGATAATGGTCTCTTTTCTATGATAACCAAATCAATTTGGTTATCATAGTAAAGCACCAAAAACTGGAATAGGAATCGGCAATATGGAATCATGAAGCAACTCGGATAAAATAAATATGGAACATTCATACATCCATTCCCTATTTTTAACCATATTATATTTTCAAACAAAATTCTCGTACTATTTTCAATAAAATTTGCATAACCTTGTTATTACTCTTAGGCGAAAGATGATTTTAATGTTAATTTTATAGAAGAACTTTTAATGCATAATAAAATAACCATTTCCTATAAATTTAGACTTAAAACGGTGACAATAAACAAGCTTTAGTCTAGAAATTAATTTTCTACTACTATAAATGCATCTTTATCTTTAATTAGAAAAAAATTTATCAATTTTATTATCCAGATGAAAAAAGAAGTGACATATGATATTTTATCTAATTTAAAATCTTTTATTGATTGTTTTTAAAAACTTTGCATTTTGTATGAGTATTTCATGTTTAAATCAGTATAAATACGCAAAATACTTATGAAATTCCAGCTGTTATTCAGTACTATTCATTTTTCAGCAATCATTAACTGTGGAAGAGTATGGCAAACGTTCGATAATGATCATGTATACTCAGATCATCAAGAATGAATTAAAGTCAATGCAGGGAAATGGATAATCCGATTAAAAACCCAAAAAAGGAAAAAGATATTATATGAACGTCTCACAAATGGTTAGTACTAAGCTCTTTCCTGATGATTGAATATTCTTTCATATTTTTGTATATTGTAAGGGATTTTCTCCCCAAATATATAATACCTTCATTAATACGATCTACTTTCTTTGAATACAAGTATAATTTTACATTTTAGGAAAAAATTTATTTTTTCAAATTTATCTTATAACAATAGAGATTTATATATATGTGTGTCAATATAGGCTTTAGTGGTATAAAATTGGGTAGATTTTTGTTTTATTTTGAGTAAAAAAATTCAAAAAAATACTACCTCATTTTGCGTGCAAAGGAATAGTCAGAGCTATTTAATAACATTTTACGAATGAACTATGGAATTACTATAACTTTTGAAGAAATTTCAAAGTTAATAGAAGATTGTATTTTAGAAATCAGCTAAAAGAATGATGTGCATGCATCAAGCGTTTTAAAGTATCCTAATCAGAATATAGTAATATACAATGATTAGCAAAGCAGATTTGAATCGGCAAGAAGAGTTGCTTAAAAAATCAGTTGAGTCTTCTCTAGTTTCCACACTGCCTATTCCTGTTTAAGTGCGGTTATTCCTATTCCAGTTTTTGGTGCTTTACTATGATAACCAAATTGATTTGGTTATCATAGAAAAGAGACCATTATCATGCTTAGAATTAATTATGTTTAGGGTCGGTTTATTGGAATAAGGAAGTTTATAATACGTGAACACTTGTTTCCTCATCGAAAAGTCATAACGCATAAAGTCGATGTTTCCTTAGTACAAAAAGTGACATATGACGCTTAACTCTTTATTCCAGATAATGACCATATTTATGGGATTAAAAAGTTTAGGAAGCTTCTCCCCAATAAATAGAGCTCTTTAACTCGTCGAAAACAAATTGTTTTCAAGTTTTTTTCGACCGGAAATTGAACTTTTAGAGTTTATACAATAAGATTCACATGAAAAAATACGGGTTTAACAAAGAAATCACCAATATAAAGGCTTTTTAGTAGAACGAGATTGATAAAAACTATGGTATGATAAAAAGACGATAATTTTTTTGGCGGGATAATTGAAGAATATGAATGATTCGAATTACAGACATACTCTAGTCCGAAACTTACTATGGTTCGTGACTTATTTTTGACACAGAATAGCTGTAGACTAAGGCTTACTCTAGATCCAGACTTATTATACAATTAAATTTGCTTTTGGAATAAGACTTAATTTTAGTTACAAACTTATCTTAATATCAGACTTATATTTAGAATCAGACTTACTTTAGTCTAGAACTTACATTTAGAATCAGACTTCCATTTCAAGTCAGACTTACTTTCGTCCGAGACTTACATTTCAAGTCAGACTTACTTTCGTCCGAGACTTACATTTCAAGTCAGACTTACTTTCTTCCAAGACTTACATTTCAAGTCATACTTACTTTCGTCCGAGACTTACATTTCAAGTCAGACTTACTTTCGTCCGAGACTTACATTTCAAGTCAGACTTACTTTCGTCCGAGACTTACATTTCAAGTCAGACTTACTTTCGTCCGAGACTTACATTTCAAGTCAGACTTACATTAATATCAAACTTATATTAACCTACGACTTACTTTTATTCCCAGACATCTTGATCCACACTGACATTGAAAACCACTCATACATCTAAAGCCACTCAAACATCTAGATCCACTACGACATGGAGATCCACTCAAACATAATTTTTGCTCTCTAACTACATTTTTATATGATTTTACAACCTAAATTTTCTTCTTTACCTAAAGATTATTCGCAATATCTGAATATCATTAATTAATTGAGATATTCAAGTTTTGACAGCGGATTTGGAAAGCAGACTTGATGGAGATTTTAAATCTGATGTCAAATCTTGGTTTTGTGCATTATTGGAAGAGAAAAAAGGGTGTTAATTGCAAATCTTAAATATAGGTTTTTACGAAAAATGTAATTAGGGTTAGAATCATAGAAAGATATATCTGTCAGACATTGTTATGTGTGACAGATAATATTGCATCTCATAGACACTGTTGCATCTCATAGACACTGTTGCATCTCATAGACACTGTTGCATCTGTCAGACACTGTTGCATCTCATAGACACTGTTGCATCTGTCAGACACTGTTTTATCTCTCGGACACTATTACATTATCTTAATATATTTCTAATTTTAAATATTTTTCTGTTTTTTGTTTTCATTATTAAATTTATTTTATAAAACTTATTTCCCTTACTTAAATTAAGGGTTTCGTTTTGCTAAAATTGTCACTTTTATAGCATATTTGTTTTTGGATGTTTTGCGAAACCAAAAAAAAACTATGATATACAATGTGTGTGTAAAGAAAATACTTTATTTACTAGTTAAAAAATCATTTGGTATTGATCAAGTTATTTTTTCTGGATAAGATATTATATGGATAATTGGATAGAAAATACAATTATATAATCTTGTACCTGGTTTAATTAAGCTAATTGTCATCAGAAACTTGTAATTTTTATGAATTTCAGATTTTCTTTTCATTACTGCTTTTCTTAATAGGTCAAGTTCTTATTTACGTTATAAAGTATGATATTTACAAATATCAAGTTATCATGTTTTTTGAGAAATTATGAGAAACAAACAAAAATGAAAAAGATAGGAATAGCAATGAATAGTGATGTGGGTATAGAAAATGTAAGAGATATGAATGCAAAGCAATCAGTATTTAGGACATTGACCATAGATTTCGAAAAAAAATGCTGCATATTGAGCGAAAACTATGATTATATTATAAGGCTGTCATTTAAAGCATAATGAAACTATTCCCTTTTCATTTTAATCAAATAAGATAGTAAAGATTTTTGAATTAGCTAGAAACTGATGAGATGTTTTCACAAATCAGATTTTTAATCTCTATAATGCATAATTCACTCAATATCTCAATTTTGATATTGCGAGATATTTTTGCTATCGGTTTCGCAATTTTGACACAATAGCAAGAGGGTTCTATAAGCATTATTATCAACGTAGAATCTGAATATCATATCAGAAAATGTCGCAAATCTGACATTTACCCGACCAAATAGCAAAAATAATTGAATACTTTTCGCAAAAACTTTAAAAATCGATAAAAATATGAAATATAGATATTAAAGAGACTTTTTATATAATATTCATAAAGATTTTCCAAAAATATGATA